GACTATTGGCTCCTTTTAAGAAGAGGAGACATCGGGCAGCCCCTGTGGCTTAGCCGTTTGGCACCGCCTTCAGCCGGGGTGTGATCCTGGAGACCCGGGATCGAGTCCTGCGTCGGGCTCCCTGCATGGAGCCTGCTTCTCCCTCTGCCCGTGTCTCTGCCTCCCTGTCTCCGTGTCTCTCATAATAAATAAATAAAATCTTAAAAAAAAAAAAAAAGAAGAAGAAGAGGAGACATGAACAGAGCAGAAGCTGGAAGAGGCAAGAATCCTTCCATTCCAGCTCCAGATGGAACACAGCCCCACCAACACTTTGATTTCAGACTCTGGGTTCTGGGAGAAAACAAATTCCTGTTGTTTCTGTCCCCTCTTGGTGGTCATTTGTTACCAGCTCCAGGAAGCCAGTGCAGTGCATTCATGTACCCTGCTTTTCAAACTTTGGTCACAGACTACTTGTTTCTTGGGGTGGGTGTGATTAGGGAGGGTGCCTTGTAGGAGGTCATGCTTGGGAGGGACGGTGTTCAGAGAAACAGGAGTATGGACAACTTGAAGAGCAAACATGGAAGGCAGGTTTCCAACAGTTAGCTTGTTTCCAGCCACTGCGCCGTACTGCGGGCTGTTACTAGTGCCGTCTATGGAGGAGGACGCTGGCAGACAGAGGTGAGGCGGGTGTGATGGAGCTTGGATTCAAGGCCCACAGGGGAACTGGAAGCTCAGTATTGTGAGGAGGGGTGCGAGGCCCCCTCCCCAGCAGGAGGGGGCCGTGTGGTTTCCATTCTGCGGCCTGGCACGGAGGGCCCCAGGTCATAGACGGACCCAGCACACGCCCTGGGGGACATGGGAGAATGAACAGCATCCGGTGGCTTGGCTTCCTCCCAGGCTGACAGAAAGGTTTAGAATCTTCCCGAAACACCACACCCTGGGCGTGAACCTTGGGGCCAAGCCTCCTTTGGAGGAGCCTGATTGTCTCCCAGGGAGAAAGCAATCACCGTGGCAGCATTTGCCAAAAGAGCTGGATTTCCGAGGAGTTTCCAGTCATGGTCATCGGTGTTCTCTGGCTCCTAGGCTCGGAGATCGGGGAGACCAGACGGCACAGAAACCCCGGGGAGGGCGGGAACCCGGGCGTGTTTGGACATTGGTTTGGGCTGACCCGGGTTAATGGTTTCAAGGCCCTGTGAGCAAGGAGTTTCATGAAATTATGATGTGAGGTCTCCCTTTTCGTAAGGATGTGAAGACTGAGCTGTGGGCCGTCCCCATCAGTGGACTTCGGGTGCATCCATTCTACCTCTCAGTGCCTGCTGTCACGCTCGTGTTGCCTGACAATGTTCCCTGGGTGTCACTTGATTGACCAGGGATGGACATCAGCTCCCGACAGGGCCAATTAGATTCTCTCTCTAGGAATCAGAACTGGGAGGTGCCCAGACACAACCTGAGCTGGTCCGTGGAACCAGGGGGATGTGCTGGGGGGATGGTCATGTCCACAGGGAGTGGGCGACGCCTGGTCACAGAGGGAGGAGGAAGAGACCCCTAATCAGTGCAGTGAAACATGCACACAAATTACTGCCAGGATGCCTGACACCCTCCAGGACTAATTCTAGTTCTTTGAGGGTCTTGACTGTCCTTGGGTTCCACAGCTAGCTACCATCCTTCCAGAAGACCCCTGCTCACCTGCACTGATTTGAGTGCATTTTTCTTACAACTTCAGGTGATCAAGACCTTACCCCAGATCTCCCCACAAGCAGGGCCCACACTGCCCCCAAAGGGTTGCCTGCCTACATAAATTGTAGAACTCACTGTACCCCTTTTTCTGCAGCAAGTCGAGCAAACCCATCCCACTCAGATCCCAGAGGACCACATGATTGGTACCTGTCAACCCAGAGATGTCACCATCTTTCCTGACCTTCTGGTTCCTCTTTCTAAGCCATGTCCATCACAAAATGGTACCCTTGCCCCATGTCTCCTTGTCTCAAATTGTTAGCGACCTTTCATGCATATTAAGGCTTCCTGACCCGGTAGCTGCTAAGCGGGTGTGGCAGGAACAGACAAGAAGCTGGAACTCCCCGGCCTTGACTCTTGATGTCCAGCCCAAGAGCTTCTGGTGAAAACAGCTGGTGAAGAAGATGTTGGTGAGAGTCCAAGACCCACCAGTCCTGTGGCAGCCTCGTTGAGATCGGAAAGAAAGACTTGGCCTGTGCTCTGAGTGGGAAAACCCTTGGGACTGTCTGAGGCGACCCACTGTTCTGCACTTCTGTGTGTGGCCTTCCTATCAGCCCACCCCGGTTCTGAGAGAACAGGTGGGCAGAGGGATGGAACCTCTCCCTGATGTCGAGACTGCGCTTGTACGCTCCCATTTCCAGGCTGGGCTGCATTCTAACCAGAAAAAACTTTTCCTTTGTCTCAAATGCTCCATGACCTGACTCCTGCCTGGCTAGCAAACAGGATCCTTTTCTGGGATTTCCAAGGATATAAGTTTCCAGTCCCTTCCCACAAGGACTCCTGGGTGCATCTTGGCCTTTCCCCATATTCAGAGCCTCTCAGGGACCCACGTTCCCCATGACACATCAACTTACTCGAATTCAAATATTACTTTTTGGAAATTAGATTCTAAGATGGCACAGTGATGGAAAATTGTTGATTAAGATTAAAATTCTGTCTCTTGTTTTAGTTTGCTGGCTCTAATAACAATATTAACTAATTCTTGCTATGTGCTAGGCCTTGTCCCAATCATTTTCTATTAATTAATGTATGCCTTTAAGCCATTTAATGTTTTAAAGGCAGCCCCTAGGGAGAAAGATGCCATTGTCATCATCCACCTTTTACAGATAGGGAGTTGAGCACTAGCCAGCGGCTTGGAAGTGGAGTTGGGATGGGGACCCAGCGTGACTGGTGCCAAGCGGTGGCACCAACCAGCAAGTCACAGACTCATCCTGCCTGTTTGGAGCCTTGGAGGCAGTTGTCACTCAGTGAGGTCAGGTGACTTGAGCAATGACACACAGCAGGTGCCTGGTAGAGTCAGGATTGGAATTCATCCGTGGACATGCGAAGATGGTGCTCATTCCACATGACTGCCTCGCTTAGCCCCTAAGAAAGATGGATTCTCTTTTATTGAGTGTCTGCTCAGTGCCAAGCTGTGTTTTCATGTATCTTGTCTGCAAATTCTTTGATTTCCATCTATTGAGAAGTGTGACCTGTGTCTTCTCTTCTTGACCTTTGTGTCAGGCTCAGCGATTCAACTAAGCATACTAAGCAGGAGTAAGGTTCTCTGATTTCCAGTGGTGGGTCACAGAAGGCCATGAGGGAAGTAAAATTCTGACTATCCTGAGACCACCTTCCAGGAAAGACCATGTAGGGGTACCCCAGTCGAGACCTCCCGCTGGGCTCCCACCACATGGGTGACAACTCGGCGGATGTTCGCGCCGCTGAACCTCAGATGCTGCCCCCCACCCCGCCAACATCCGACAGTAACCCCACGAGAGACCCCTAAGGAAGGACCGTGCAACCAGGCCTTTCCCAGACGCCTGACCTGCAAAACTATGAGCAAAATAAAATGGTGGTTTTAAACCACTACATTTTGGAGTTGTGGGGGTGGGGGGAGAGTTGACAGGATCATGTGTGTGAGGCTGCATGTCCGAGAGGCATCTCTCTCCCTCTGGGTTTGTCCTTTGTCGAATAGGAAGTTGTTCTGGACCGGTCTGCTCACCATTGGATAGTCCGGTGTTTGGAACAGAGCCTGGCACACAATAGATGCTTAATAAGTGCTAGATGAGTAAAGGGAATGAACCAAGAAAGATCACAGGATGCCTGTGTCTTTCTTGGCATTTGAGCTGCACCGAAGCCCTGGCAAGCGTTTGGGCTTTCTGAATCTGTGCCACGCGTGCCCTGCCCCACTCTCTCTCCTTCTTGCCCCCCCCCACATGCTCTGACCCCTCTGGATGCCCCCGATGCTTGAGATCCCAGAGGAGCCCTGTCTGCCCTGCTGGCGCTGCAGAGGACAGGGCTGGTGCAGACTGACCCTGCTGGAGCATGTGGAAGGAGCAGGAGACCATTCCTCATCTTCATGCAGGGACGTGCCAGGGGAAGACAGGCTCCTCCAGCCCTTGTCTGCATGCAGTGAGGCCAAGCCGCTAGCCTTGGTTTCTTCACCTGCCAGCAAGGGCCTTGGATTTACGCGTTTCAAAGGCAGTGTCTTCTGGCTCTAAGTTGATTGGTATTTACCTGCACAGGTTAAGAATGCTAAATGCCTGCAGGCCAAGTGTGGCAAGAGCAAGGCTGCTGCTCACCAGCTGTGCGACTAAGGACACTCTTCTTCTGGCCTCAGGTGTCTGATCTGTGAAATGGGATCATTTCCACCCTAGCAGAGTCCTGTGAACCGGTACCGGTTCATAATGAAGGGAAAGCGCCTGGCCTGGAGCAGAGTTTCTTCATCTGCACATTGGGAATGTGCACGGGTGCATGTGTGTGTGTGTGTGTGTGTGTGTGTATGTGTGTGTGTGAGAGAGAGACAGAGACAGAGGGATGAGTGGAGTTTTCGGCCACCGTGTAGAGGATGGGAGTAAATATAGCAAGTGTGTATTCTGTGCCACAGTTTACAGAGCCCACACCCTTCCCGGTTTTATTTGCTACAATCCCGGGAGGTCACTTCCCTGTTCCCAGTTTCCATGTGAGCCGCAGAGAGAAGGGATTTGGTCAACGTGCAAACCCCTGGTGGAAAGTGCTTGGCACCTCGCCGGGCGCCCATGAGCGCCCATGAGCGCCCAGGGGAACCTAGGGTCGTCACGATCGCGGAGAAACCCGAGCGCGTCCTGCGCGCAAGCCGAGGCCTGGGGACGCGGGGTCCGGCCCGCCGCGCGCCCCCCGCCGCCCGCACCCCCGGCGCCCGCGGGCCTCCCCGGGGGAGGGGCCGGCCGGGCCGGGGCGGAGCGTGGAGGAACGGCCCTATCGGCGCCGCCGGGGGCAGGGTGCGGAGGTCCCATAAGAGCCGCGCGCCGAACCCGCATCCCCGACATCCCTGCCGAGCCGCTGGGCCCGCCGTGTCCGCCCGAGTGTCCGCGCTGCCGCCGCCGCTGCACGGAGGACGCCGCGCGCTGGTGACAGGAGAGCCCCGCGGAGGTGAGTGTGACCTGGCTGCCCCTCTCCGGCTGCCTGCGCCCCCGCGGCCTCCGAGGCGCCGGCCTCCCCGAGCCGGGCCCCCATCCCTTGGCGCTGACCGGTGCGGACCGGGCGCCGGCGCGCGACCTGCGGCTCCGACCGGCTCCACCGCTTGGCCTTTCGCAGAGGAGAAACTGAGGCTCACAGGGACCAAGGCACTTGCCCAAGACCTCACAGCCAGGGAGCAAGGGGGCGGGGGGCTCAAAGCCCGTCTGACCGCAGATTCAAGCTCCTGGCGCCGGGTACTCTCGCCTCCCTTGCTATTTGCTAGCATCTGTTGCGTTCCTGTCTACGCAGGGGGCTCAGTAAGCCGAAGGCCGATGGCGTGAGTGTGGCAGGGGGTTGGATGTGCCTTGTCTACCCACGTGTGGATGGCCAGGCCGATCCTAACGGAGCTGCTGTTCTGCTCCGGTTTACAGGGCCACACCCCTCTACGCTTTTATCTGCAACAAACCTGAGCGGTAGCCTCTCTCTTCCCATATTTCAGATGAAGATACTGAGGGTCGGGGAGGGGGAGCGAGGTGTCCAGTTAAAGCGAGGGCTGCAGCCCAGCTCTCTCTGCCTCCAAAGCTCCAGATGGATGTGTCCGGGTGTGAGGCTTGCCAGAGTTCCTGCGGGCTTGGGAACACACGCTGGGGCTCTTCGGTCAGAGTGGACATCCCATACACTCCTTGTGGGGGAAGACTTGTGCTGGAAGCTGAGGACTCCACTCTGTGGTCCTGAGAAGACCGGCTGCCCTAGATGGCCAGAGCCAGGGAGGCCCCTCGTGTGGTACAGACCCAGAGCCTCCCTTGCCCAGGACTCGGCTGGGGGACGAGCCAGAAAAGGCTTAGCTGATGCCTGCTTGTTGAGGTCTACCCTGAACGGGGCATCTTTTAGCCAAAAGGTGAGCCGCTGCTCCTGCTGAGAGAAGCAGCTGGGGGCCTGTACTAATGCCCAGCTGGCCTTGCTAAGTGGGTTTGTAAATTTCCACCTTGAGCATTTGGGTGCCACGTTCTGGCAGAGGAGGGTGACCCTGCCTTCCCTAGTAGGGTCATCTAAGGTCTAAACCTGCCAGGGGAGAGCCCAGGGTCCAGCAGAACAAGATGAGGGGCATGTCCTCTTCCCCAGGCAGACTGAGGGGGGGCCTTCTAAGGTTCTCTGTGCACCTGATTTTCTGATCTGGTAGTTTCCACGTGGGAAAGAGGAACAGAAGGTGTGGGAGCTGTACTGCTGGTGTGGCAGGTATGAGACCGTGCCCCTTCCCTGCATTTCCATCCCTGCCACATACCTGGGCGGTCAGCCTCTTGATCCCCATTTCATAGCTGAGTAAACCAAGGCTCAAAGAGGCAAAAATGGTGCAAAAGGCCCCCTAGCTGATGTGCCATGCTGTCACCCCCTGGTTTGTCTGGTTGCAGACCCTATACTCTTAACTCCTGGGCCCTGCCTCCTTTAAGACCCTTCTCGACCCAACCACTAACTCCACCTCTGGACCTGACCTTCACACAAAATGTGCTGTCTGAGAGGGGCTCCAGGGAAAATCTGTCAGCAGAGTTAAGCCCAAGTCCCCAAGTCCCAGTAATATACACCCTGGGGGGAGAAGGAGGGCGATTTTGATTTTTTTATGGAGTCTCTTAAGATGTAGGAGTGGGAATAGTAATAGTAACATTTATAATAATACCAGCAGCTGACATTTACCTGACACTCAGAATGAGCCAGATGTGCCCAGGTTTTACACAGATGATCTCATGGACTTCTTTATGAGGCAGCCACTAGACTGCCTTCCTTTTTACAAGGACGAAATTGAGTCTCGGTGTGATTAAGGCATGTATGCAACATGACATAGCCAGGGCTGGGGAGAGCTGCCCTCCAGGCTGGGTCGCACCCCAGATTCTGGAAGAAGGTGCTCACCCCATGGCTAGCTGCTTGACTGTCACAGCTGAACTTGCTGGGCTTCACGGCTTCTCAAGCCATGTAGGATCTGGATCCCTGCCCGAGTTAGGGGTGGGCCTGGGGAGAGGATGCCCTGACACAGGGGCTTGGGCTCCCCTCTGCTGACAGGTACCAGTGTCAACATGCAGGGAGCCCTGCTCTGGGACCCAGATCAGTCCTGGCTCGCAGAGCCTGCCACTGGACTGGAAAGGAGAGCTGGCTTGGCAGGGGAGGGCCTGGGGCCTTGGCAGAAGCACACGAGGCCTCTGGAAGTCCCACACTTCATCCCTCCCTCAAAGACCCCTCGTTGGATATCTGGCCTTTTGTAGGTTGCATTTGAAAACTGGCTTTTAGAGGCGGGACCCTCAAATACTGACCTCTTTGGCCTTGTGGGAGCTGGAACGTTTCTTTGCTCTGTCACCAGTGTAATTTACTACGTATGGGAGGTGCCTCTGTGTCTGCTTGCTCCAGACCTAGGAGGATTTTTTTCTTTTTTTTGTAAACTCACTGGTTTTTGATCAGTCCCAGATGTGCAAACCCAGCATCACTCAAAGGGGCTGACGGCTTGTCAGGAAAGGAAAATACAACATGAGCATCATTGCACTTTATCTTCAGTTAATGGAGCTGAGTAGCTGCTCAGACCTTCTTGGGATGGGCACCCCGAGCCTCTCATAAAGTCTTAAATGAAACACGCTGTGTTCTGGAACAGGAAGGGTAGGGCCGATCTAGGTGGTGGGTGGTAGGACCTGCCATAACCTTTCTTCTTTGAAAAAAATTATTTTAATGTGGTAAAATATGCATAAGCACCAAATTTACCATAAGCACCAAATTTACCATTTTAACCAGTTTAAAGTATATAACGCAGTGGCATTCAGCACATTCACAACGCGGCGCAACCACCACCTCTGTCTAGTTCCAGAATGTCTCCATCACCCCCAGAGGACACCCTGCCGCCATTGGCCACTCTCCTCGACCACCAGTCTGCTTGCTGTCTCTGTGGATTTGCTTATTCTGGAAATCTTATATAAATGGACCGATATAACATGTGGCCTATTTTGACTGGCCTCTTTCACTCAGAGTCCATCCACGCCGTAGCATGTGTCAGTGCTTCGTTCCTTTTTATGGCTGAGTAATACTCCATCGTGTGAATGCACCACATTGCAATTATCCATTCTTCCATCAATGGGAGTTCGGGTGGTTTCCACCTTTTGGCTGCCGTGAACAGTGTTGCTGTGGACATGTGTGTGCACGTCTTTGTTTGGACATCTGTCTGCAGGTGTTCTGGGTGCGCGCCTAGAAGTGGAATTGCCAGGTCACACGGTCACTTGACGTTTAACGTATAGAGGAAATTGTGTTTTCCTTCTTGGCTTATCTTGAAGAAGCATAGACCCAGGTCATCTCGTTACACAATAGATCAAGGCCCTCGACCGTGGACGCAGGGAAACCTGGCATCTGGGTGTTCTGGGGGAGGTGTTGACATTCCAGTAGGGTCACAGTGGCAACTGGCAGAGAATCCCGTCTGAGGCATCGTGCCCCAGGCAGTGCAGTTGTGGGTGTTCACGGGCAGACACCCCTTGTCCAGGCCGGGAGGACAGGCAGTTTCTCATGGTTCAGCCCCAGGGAGATTTATCTTCTCTGATTGTCTCGAGTGCTGTGTCAGCTTAGACAAAAACCACAGATTCCGGGGAAAAAGAAATTCATAATGCAGCTCATGCAATTTCTGGACCATCATTTAAAAAATATTATAAATTATGAAATCCCACATTTTCAATCCAAATTTCTGAACTGTGTTCCATTGTGAGTGAAGAAAGGCAATATCCCAGAAGGAAAAAAGAATAGAGCTTCCATTTCATTTGTAGTCAAATGGTCCTGGAGTCAAGCCTGCTCTAAAGTTCTTCTAGATTGAAAAAACAAGAAACAGCCCACTCTGATCTCCCTAGGATTGGGAGCTGGATGGTACCTGCTGGGATGGACTTGATAACGGCCTGAGAACTCTTTCTAGAACAGAGGCAAGGAAAGATGATTGAGAGTGCCCCAAGCGGAAGGACCATGTGTGTGCAAAAACTTGGAGATGGGGAGGGGCCTGGCACTCCTGGAAGGTGGCAGGAAGTTTGGCTAGAGTCTGAGCATCAGGCCCAGAGTGGCAAGTGTCTGCCTTTCGGGTGGTGTGAGTTTGGATTTCCTTTCCTTTCCTTTCCTTTCCTTTCCTTTCCTTTCCTTTCCTTTCCTTTCCTTTCCTTTCCTTTCCTTTCCTTTCCTTTCCTTTCCTTTCCTTTCCTTTCCTTTCCTTTCTTTCTTTCTTTCTTTCTTTCTTTCTTTCTTTCTTTCTTTCTTTCTTTTGAGAGAGAGAGCGCATGTGTGAGCAGGGAGGTGGGGGCGCTGCAGAGTGGGGTGGAGGGACAGACAGAGAGAGAGAGAATCCTGAACAGGCTCCAGGCCCAGTTTACAGCCCAAGTTAGGGCTCGATCTAATGACCCTGAGATTATGACCTAAGTCGAAATCAAGAGTTGGATGCTTAAACGACTGAGCCACCCAGGCAGCCCTGCGTTTGGATGTCCTCCTACAGGCTGTGGGGCTTGTACTTGAGAACAGATTACAGTGAAATAAGCAGTGTTCCCCAAAGCATGGGGAGCCATCCCCACCAGTCCCCGAGGTGACCTAGCCTGTGCACAGACCCCAAAGGCCCCAATCTATAGGCTGTCCTTTTAGGTCAAAGTGAATGTGGGTGGTGCTGTCCATGCCTAACGCTTCCCCTGCACCCCACTCACCCTTTACAGCAAAGACAGAGCACCCTTGGCCTAACACCCTGTGGCTGGCATCCATGACCAGATGGGAGGCCCTCAGTTTGTTCTGTTTTCAACACATAAACTTTTACTCCTACCTTCCATTCAAGGCAGATGGGATCATGTTCTTTGCAAACAGTGATGATAGGAAATCACCTTTTTTTTTTTAAGGTTTTATTTATTTATTCATGAGAGACACACAGAGAAGTAGAGACATAGGCAGAGGGAGAAGCAGGCTCCATATAGGGAGCCCGATGTGGGACTTGA